ACCGAGCCGATGCGTTATAATGTCTTAAAGAAAGATTTACCAGAGAGGCGGGATACCTGATCGTCTATATGAGGCAGAGGATATCGATCTTTAATAGTGCGTGCATTGAGGTTTCTGTAGTCTATACATAACCTATAATCACCACCTTTTTTCTTTACAAGGACCACTGGACTTGCATAATCAGCAATTTTCATTAACAATTTCATTTTCCTTGTGAGAGAGTCGATAAGGCTTGCAAAAGACGGGCTGCTCAGTTTTGGTCTGAATATGCATCTCCAGTATGTCTGTACATCCCAAATCTTTTGTAGTTTTCGCAAACAAATGTCTGTATTTATTCAGTAACCGTAATAGTCGACTGCTATCATTCCTTTCTAAATCTCCTATATCTATATCAGATAATTGTAATTCCTCGTCAGTAGATTGGTCAAGTATCATAACATTCGTACTACTTTGCAGACTCTTCTTTTGATTAGTAACAATTTCCGCGCGTGCTATTAATCTATTCTGTTTCCATTCAATAATTTTGTCTCCGATATTAATTATTTTTAGAAAGCAATCTTTCGACCTTACAAGCCCACCCAAAATTACATAAGACATATAGCCCAACTCAAAATATACAGAATTCACAAGAAATGTTTCATTAGTGTTAATATCGAGATAAACTTGTACCTGTTAACTTACACTACATTTAGTCGACTATTTACTCGTAGACTCTATAGCGATACTCGATAATGACAACTCGTATTAGTACTAAGATGGTATTTTTACATTCACTCGTTCGTTCTCCAGAGATAATAAAAACAGCAGTGCGGGTTGGCAGTTGATATTCGATTTAATGGACACTTGTGCTGTAACCGTTGTACTGTGTGGATTAAATCCCGTAATAGTTACACAATCTCTTGCTATTTATGTGAACCTGACCCGACTCCTTCATCTCAGAAGTGGGATTGAACAGGTTGGTACTATATTTTAAGCGGAAGCGCTCACATTGTAAAAAAATTGTTGAAGTGCGATTTTATAACGTTAAAATATTTTAAACCTACCTTCATGGAAAACGAATACCTAACACCTCAGGAAACGGGAAACTCTCGTGCTTCCCGTTCGAGAAAAAGGAAACACGGTCGTGATAACAATAAAGTGACAGTGTATTCTAGTGAAAAGAAAAGAAGAAGGCATAAAGACACTCCTAGCAGGAAATCTACGGATACGGAAAATTCTTTGCAAAGGAGCAGGCGTGAACGAGAACGTAGTAGTTCGCTATATCGTAAACACCGTAGGAGTTCCCGTAGTCGTACCCGTCATCGTGTGAATCACCGGCGGCGCCGCAGGAGTCCCAGTGGCGATACCAGTGGTCGCGAGTCTCACAGGCGACATCACGAGCACAGCCGACTGAGTCGGGCTGATGTACACAGTTGCAGAGGACTCAGTACACCACGTAGGCGATCTAACTCACCGGTAAGACGTTCCAATAATAGTAATGATAATGTGACTCATATGCTACTGACCCAATTAGTGAATACTTTAGTTAATAATCGCCCCGAAAGTAATAAATTCCCGATGTTGGGTAATGTGGTGCCGGATTTCGATCCGATGGTTAAAGGCCAAACAATTCAGATGTGGCTCAATAAGGTTGATGAATGTGCAAAATTATACAAATGGGGTGACGATCAAATCATACACTATGCGATGCCCAAATTATCAGGCGTTGCTAAGACTTGGTACCAAACATGTACTATGTCCTTTTCTTGGCCTGAATGGAAAAATAAATTATCAGAATCATTCCCTAGTACCGACGATTATGCGGAGCTGTTAACAGAAATGTTATCCAAACGAGTTAGATATAATGAATCTTTAGAATTGTACTACTATGATAAAATTAATTTGCTACACCGTTGCGATATAAAGGGTAAGCGGGCAGTCGATTGCTTACTATACGGGATAGATGATCGTTCGCTAAGATTAGGCGCTAAAGCATTGACATGTCAGGAACCTGAACAAGTCTTAGAATACTTTCAATCGACTAAACAGTGTCAGCGCGAATCAGATCAAACGCGGTTTAATGACAAAAGAACCAGTGCTTTGTCACACAATCCCAATTATAAAACGGCTACCAATGATTCAAGGCCTAAAACTAGTTCTAGTTCTATCGTCTGTTACAATTGTAATGAACCCGGTCATTTTAGTACTAAGTGTACGAAGAAATACTGAGATGCAACATTTGTAAAAGATTAGGGCATACTACTTTAAGTTGTACTAAACTACCCTCTGATAGCAGCAACAATAGATAAGGAACATGTGGGCAAATCAAAGAAACTAATATCAAAGTTTCATGGCCCATACCGCATTAAGAAAATTCTCGCGAATGACAGGTTTGTAATCGAAGACACTCCTTTGACTAGGCGAGGTAAAAATAAATATGAAAATTTTGTGGCGATTGACAAAATTCATCCATGGTTGAGTTTTAAGAATATGTCTAGTGAGGGAAGCGAAAGTGACAATAGCGGTGATGATAACTCGCTCCTAAATTAATTTAAAATAAGGGACTTGTACGATTAGTAGTGTTTGTGTGATAATGAAGAGGTAATCTACCTATAAGAATGAAAAAGTTAGTTGATTTAGTTTCATCAATTAGCTGATGGAATGACTAAGACTACGTAATTACGCATAGGCTACAGGCAATCGGTGCAGAAACGAATGGTATCGGAAGCCGATATCGCACAGATGATTGCAGATTGTAGCAGATCATGTGTGACATAGACATGACTAGTAAGTACTACGCATAGGCCATAGGCAATGAGTGCAGAAGGAGAATGGTATCGTTGAGCGATATCGCACAGATAATTGCAGATCATGGCAGATCATGCGTGAGTTGACATTACTACGTCTTTCATAGATATGAACGGTCAGTGCAGACAGTGAATGTTGTCAAGCAATTGACATCGCACAGATGACCGCAGATGTGAGTAGCATACCAGACACACAGTATTGTCACACAGTATGATTAAGTGAAGTAGTAGGAAAGTATAATGAAAAGAAGGGAAATTAGAAGTAAATAGGAAGTATTGTCATGTAATTAGTTTTAAGTTATACATTTAAAGCTAATATCAACTGTTGATTACCCTATACATTGTCAAATTACAGTTATTATCGCCATAATTAATATTTAAATTATGAGCAAAGTGAGAGGACTCACTTTATTAAGGATGGCCGAGCTGTTAACTTACACTACATTTAGTCGACTATTTACTCGTAGACTCTATAGCGATACTCGATAATGACAACTCGTATTAGTACTAAGATGGTATTTTTACATTCACTCGTTCGTTCTCCAGAGATAATAAAAACAGCAGTGCGGGTTGGCAGTTGATATTCGATTTAATGGACACTTGTGCTGTAACCGTTGTACTGTGTGGATTAAATCCCGTAATAGTTACACAATCTCTTGCTATTTATGTGAACCTGACCCGACTCCTTCATACCAAAGCAGTACTTTGTTGTGGTATTATACAGCTGTGTCTTAAATACACTGGAAATTTTGTTACAAAGTCTGTGTCATGTAATTTTATATCACTAAGAGTACTATGAAAAGTATCACTACTACCCACGAATTTAACAGAATTTTGTGATACAATTAAACTGATATTATTTTGACTTATCATTGATTGTCCGATTATTAAATCTATATCGGCCATGTCGTAATTCGTTATTTCTACAAATCCACTTAAAATAATATTGTCTATGTGAACATTTACGTGGGAGGTTCCTAAAGAGGTCGAGTATGCGCCTCCAAAACCTCTCATTGTAACCACGGAAGGCTCAATCTTTAGTTTTAACTTATCGGCATATGCCACAGTGAGAATATTTAATTTGCTGCCCGTGTCTATGTATGCAATGAGACTACAACCATTAATTACCACTACCTTTTTGTACAAATCTACGTATATGTTGTATGTTGTAAATAAGACATTACTCACTTTTGGGTGTGAAGAGCTGGCCGCATACCAGCAGCTGGCCGACGTGTGGCCCGGGCGATGGCACACCTCACAGCGCGGCACTTTGCAGTCCTTTGCTTCATGACCTTCTCTTCGGCAAGCGTAACATTTCTTCGGTTGAAAGTCGGTTCCTCTTGCAATTGGAGCAACGGCGCCCCCTCTTCTCCACGTGGTAGCCAGTCGCGGATGGCTAGCTTCAACTTGTTTGTAGTTTTCCAGTGACGACAAATATGCGTAGTATAGTATAGTATAGTTGCTGTGGTGTATCGCACTGGAAAGCCTTTGCGTTAGCTCTTATTTCCACGGGTAGACCGCAAATTATGCACGAAATTGCAGGCTCGCCAACGATATTGCATTTTTTTAATAAGGAAACCTTGTCGTGGAAATATTTTGTCATACTTTCCGAATTCGTTTTCTTTCTAGCGAGCATAGATTCAAGTAGATCTATAAAGTCAGTAGAACGTGGGAACGCGGTCTCTAGAGCGTCCTTCCACCCCTTCCACGTGAAATCGTAGTCGTCCAGATCGTCGTACCAGTCTCTAGCCGTCCCACGAAGACGTATCTGCATGATGAACTAGCGGTCTTTGTTGTCCCATCCATATACGTCACCCAACTGGTCGATCTTGTGCAGCCGTCCTTTGACGTTGCTAGATTTTAAATCCGGCCAGAACGTTGGAATAACCTCCGCATCGGTTTGGGTGACGCGTCGCTTTTTGTATCGCGTGTGTTTCTCAACGGTCTCTTCGTGATCCGATGAAGAAAAAAAACTAGATGATTCGTCGCTGTCGGGTGCAGCATTCTCGCAGCGTCTCCTTTTCTTTGTACCAAGTCCGTCAATGTATGGGCCTGACATCATCCCACTTCTGAAGTGTAAAATGATTATCAGGGTGGCGGCGACAATTAAGACACTTTAAATCCACACGAAATAATATATTCTCTTTAATACACGTTAGGACGGGTAGAATACGAATGACCCGAAATATGTTAACCGTGGGTATTTATACAATCATCTTGACCTATTTTAATACAAACTTAATAGGTAACATTGTTTATCTTAATCATCCTGTTGATTAGTTACATACAATTATTATTTAATAATATTAAATTATATAACATAAATATTAATATAACATTAATAATTAAAGGTTTATTGCGCCGGAAGCTGTCAAGCGGAAGGCGCCAATAAAATATTATAAGTATAAATGAATCAACTATTTACTTGATTACAAAATTACTAACTATATTATAAAACAATAATAAGTTCTATATATTGCCTAATTATTAGGATGTACCTGAACTAGTTCGTAAATAATGGCTCGCGTATTATGTGAGGCCGGAAGTGTTACTCGATAACAGATAATAATAACTTTAAATATCTCAAATCAGCAGTCTGATCCCTAGAAAGGCTAGGCAAAGCCTGTACTATATAATATATAGTACTACTATATTATAATAATCTTTCCTGTTGTTAAATAAATTAAAGATTAATTAGAACCTGACAAATAACAAATTATCATACTTATCATACAACGTTTGGTTTGACTCAGGAATCAACATAACGTCTCACCAACAGTAACTTTTTCTTCTTAATTAAATTTCCTTAATATTTACTGTTCCTAAGTTAAATAAAGTGATAGTTGTAAAATAAAATTACTTCCGAAATTTCGTCAACATTGTAGAACACTCAATAGCAAGAAACATTAACATTTCGCGAACTAATTTATTTCCGACACATGTAAACGTAGACGCCGCCAGACCTAGACACTCTTCTCAGAAAGGAAATGATTGCAAAGACATCTAAATACAAAGAAACACATTCATAATGACAAGTAGGACTTCACTTATAAATAAATGTAAAATACATTACATGATAAAGGAAAAGTGCAGTATAGTACATTAAGAGATGCGACGCTAGGTACCTACTTAATATTTCATCGTTGTTGGAGATTGCGACATAAGTAGGCAGGTGACAAACTGTGATACTTAAAATTCCTGTTCGCCCTAATTCTAAACTCGATCAAAGTCATGTTAAATAATATACATTAGCTTTTTGGCAGACGTAATGGTCTAAAAAGGTTAATTACCATCAAATTGCTAGTTTAAAAATGAATGATACATACGTATAACGTATTCAAGTTGCGATAATTAAAAAAAACTCATGAATAAAAACATATACCTTCTCCTTGTTTACCAAATACATATTAATGTATGTGTGTACTTATGAAGATACAAAAAATTTGATTAGACTAAGTATACTTTAATTCAAATGCATCCCTTACGCACACACTAACACACCACACACATACACACACACTAATAAATATACTTTGTAACATAATAAATATAAACATATAATAATACGAGGAATATAATTATAACATTAATTGTATTTTTATATTTTATTCTTACCTTAAGCAAATCATCTCATGCATACGCAACTACGATACACTACTCTTTCACATCAACTACCTGTTGCATTGAAGTACGAGAGCCCTGGTACTCACCCATACCACAAGTTAAATCTTACTTTGGGTACCAGAGGTCAACAAAATTTGTGTACATGTTGTGATTGTAATAACTCATGTGTGTTTTTCCTGTATGTATCTTTTGGAGACTATTAATTACATTAGTATTATTGTTATGTTTTACGGACTTAACAGCACAGCTTATAAACACACAATATAATGACACAATTTTCAATAATGATAAGTGCTTATAATGAAAATTATCATTGTAGAGCTAAGTTAAAATTATTATCTTCTTAAATATCAAGAATATTTGAAATTGGTTCATAGTTTGGTTCGATGCTATGAAATTACAAACAAAAACCAAACGGGGCCACCTTTTTTCAAGTCGATCAAAAGGGCCATTATTTCTCTATGAATCTAGATAGAAAATTATTTTTTAGTATGTCTAGTTATCAAAATGTAAACTTATATGTATTTTTAGTCTTAATGATAAGACAAAAGATAAAGACTATGCAGAAGAACAATCATAATAATCTCTTAATCTGGGTAACCACGGTACCACAGTAAGAAATTCGTACTTAGAAACGAGTAGCAAATAATAGAGTCTAGTACCTATAGACTTTGATATACGATACTAAACCCAAATATATTTATAGAAATTTGATCATTTTAAACAACCTTACCATATGACGTTAATAAAACTGATCAACTTTATGGACACTTTCCTTTCTCCCCTAAACTTACATTCAAAACCAGAGGTAGCTTTAAACTTTTTCATACTACTATTGTTTTATTCATAAAAAATCTTAGGCTAAAGGTAAATCATAGAAGAAACCCTGAGGCAGGAACGATCTCCACGAATACACTCGTAACAGCAATCCAACTAGATCCTTGTTTAATTGAAGTCGTTGCGATAAGGGTGGCTTAGTCAAGGTACAAATCCGCAGTGAGCATCACTCGGCCAGACTTACGATAACAAGCAAAGCTATGCCCAGAGGATATAAAATAATTAAACTAAGTTTACGAGATACTTGTTTTTTCGATTCTTTTTGTTGAAAATATTTGACAAAAAAAACAATATTTTCATTCGTTGTTTAAATTGTGGTACATTTGTAGAAAGAAGTAATAAGTTGTGTTTAGAAAATTACTTTTACAATTATGTTTTGTTACCTTTTATGATAAATGGTAACTGGTTCTCAAACATTCAAAACTCCAATTTACGAAAGTAGCTTACTACGGTAGCATATATGAGGGTCGAGACGCTCTTCTCTCTTTTTTTCAATTAAATAAATAATTATCGCATAAGAAATATGTCGATGGACACGATTATAGATACCATTTTCTCTTTTTTCTCTTATTTTCTAAGCAATAAGTCATAAAAAAATTGTCTAAATCAACCCTACCGTTTTCAAGGAATATGATAGTAAAAAGAGTACCTACTCCAATTTTATTAATTTTTTTTTGTTTATCCAATGGTTTAAAAAATTAACAATTTATTAGAAAGAAGTAGCTATGTACATAATTACGTAATATGTAAGTACTATAAGTGCGTGCATGTAATAAGTCACAAACCACAAAGGTAATCCTCATAGGTGAAGAGAATTGTATGTACACATAATTACGGGCACGGAGGAATCTAAAGAAAAGTTAAAGAAAGCTAACTTTATTAATTCTAATTTGGCATAAAATTATAAACTCGATTGTAATTAATCGTAACCAATCTCAGGTTGTCGTTATTAGTTCCGTTCAGATTCCAGTATCGAAATCCCTTATGCTAATCACCGTTTGATATTATACTAACCAACTTTGTCTAGAACGTAGTATCTCCTCTATTTTCTGTACTGAGACAGTTCGACTTTAAACCTAGAAAGATAATCAACGCTGCTAAGTTGTCCGCCTGTGAAACTAATTATTATTGTGTCTTCTTTTTCTCATTTTGATTTTTTTTGATTAAATCAGGTTTGGTTAAAAGACGCTTTTGACGACCATACCATAGAGCAATAGAAATCATCAGCTAAAGCTTAAAGTCACTTACCTTTTATCCCGCCAGCAAGTTACGTCGTAATTTAGGTTTTAAAGTAATTAATTTATTACTTCTAAGTAATAAATTAATTATTTTAAAACCTATATCTATTCTATTATTCGTTTATAACCATGGAAGTTTTTTATACGTTCTTGTCTATAACATAATAATTAATATATGCATAATTAGTAAGATAAAAAATACCCTAAAAAAATATTAAAATATTTAAGATTCTGTCTATCTACATGCAAGCGTCAAAAAATACATTAGACCTCTGGTCACGTCCCCAAACGGTTCAAAAACATAATTATTTTCGATTAAATTTTTGTATTTACGTCGTTTGAGGCTTTGCGGAAGCAGCACAATAGGGATGGCTTAACCAACTGTGTTTAGAAAATGTGTGGTGAAAGGGTGTCGGTGCAAATTGCGTTCTACACCAAAGACTTACCCATCTTCCATGGCACTAACAACATACCATAGTAATACATTGCCATTGTACAATGAGACAAGATAAGTGTATTCTACAGCGGCATCTTTTAAAACGAATTTGAAATTTTAATATTTTGTGGCAGATTATTATGTTTTCAGTTTTTCCAATAGGTGGCGTTAAAATAAAGTGATTAGTCACAGTTTCGAAACGGACTAATAAATTTCGAAACCTAGATTTCGTACCTATTTGCAGTTGAGACTTATCTATGACAGATAGACTGTATAATATTCAATTAAAGTTAATTGGATTTATCATAGTCCTTTATTATCTATATAGTTTTTAAATTGTCTATGGCGCATCAAAATGGCCGCCTGTAGTCATGACCGATCGGAGTGGTAATGTTCTTTGTTTACGTTAAAAACATGTTAATTGTTTTAAATTTCTGACTCTAATGTGACAAAATAAAATGTTTATAGATATTAAAACTCTAGACAATAGTTTGGGGTCATATAAGTGTGTGATTTGACGTAAAACGTGTGATAACAGTCTCACCTTGTAAAGAGAAAATGGGGAACTGCTTTAGTAGTACAGGCGAAAAGGAATCTAAAAGTAAAAATGAAAGAGCAAATCCGCAAGATGAAGACCTTAGACAGTTTCAAACACCTGTGCCAACGCCTCCTCCCGACCCTATTAGGCCAGCAGTAAATCAGGGTGCAGATACAAGCGAGGTCCCTCCCACCCGAATATTCGTAGCACTGTACGATTATGATGCTCGAACCGATGAGGACCTTAGTTTTAGAAAAGGAGAACACTTGGAAATTTTAAACGATACCCAAGGTGACTGGTGGTTAGCTAGAAGCAAGAAAACTAAACAAGAAGGCTACATTCCATCGAACTATGTCGCCCGCTTGCAATCTATAGAGGCCGAACCGTGAGTAATCATTATCTGTTTTTATGCAATCGGTATAATAGTGAATGGTTCCTGGCGATTTCTTTACCTTTAACTACATCAACTAGTAACACGATAAAGACTTGTGTATTTGTTTGTCATTATCAGAGACAAATAGGTATCTTTATATCATAAATATCCACAAAAATTGCATAATATCTCCCTTTTTTATTTGCAACAATCAGTTGATTCATTGAAAGTAAAATTATAACATTAAATAACAAATTAATACATTGTTGCAAATAATTTTGATAAAGCTCTCTGTTCGTCGTCGATCTGTCAGTTTCCAAATAGTTGAGCCTTGTGAGAAAAATTAAGGTTAAATAACTAGCAGGCACAAAATCAATAAGATAAATATAATCAAATAGAATGATAACAAATCATTTTTACACTGTTTTCTTTTATTATTCTTACATGGTTCTGCATTTTATATTGAATAACTAGATCCCATGAAAGTAACAGCCTCAATGTTTTTATCTCAATGCTTTCAGTGGTATAATATTAATTAATATGACACAATATTACTATAATTGTAACAAGTTAGTTACAATTAGTAGGAAGATAATAATGTAAGAAAAGAATGTGTACACATTTAGATTGCATTAATAAATTATATTATAACAAAGTTGTGTTACTTTGAGGAGACATGTTTCATCATAATGTAAAGTGAAAGCAATATGGAATGTTCACATTATCACCAATACTATACTGTTAATATACCGACACATACATGATAGACTCATATTACAATATATTTATTTCATGTGTTCTTATACTTATAAACATTATATTAAAAAAAATAGTGTCTGCTATCTTAAAAAAAAACAAGTAAACATAACATTATGTGCACTATGTAATTATTGAAAGGACAGACAAGTAACAAATTACTAGTGATTTCCAAGACGTTTTTTGTATTCCATTCTAACTATGACAAGTCTAAAATGATTTAGAGATATTGATTTAAGGAAAAAGCTGCTTTCTGGGATTTTCTATTTTAAAATATAAATACGTAGTTCAATAGGCAAATTGTATGTGTTTATCAGGAAAATTGGATGAGAAGAGCTCAGGCAAATTAAGTAGATTAAATCATTTAGGATTGAGTACTCATTTATCTAAATACTATTATTGAAAAGATACTGATAAAATCAATGACAAGATAATACATTTTAGTTAAGATTGAAATTATAATAATAATTAAGGGTGTCTAAGAAATTATTTTCTATCGTCACAAGAATCAAAGACTTCTTAATGAAATAAATCTAAGTTTAAGTGCTTAGACTATCCAGTAATAGGTAGATTGAGTTACATCTCCTGCATGCAATCTTAGCTTTAAAATATGGCTGACATTCTCTAAACTAATTTATTATATGGTTAAGAATATTGCTTATACAGATTTGTATCAGCAATTTGCATTTCAATATTGTACCAATTTGATAAATTTTAAATATTTTTATAATTAATTCCCATAGTGCCCAGTTTTCTGTTAAGACTAGGCCTCTATTCCCCGATTACAACTAAATTGAAGTTAGCAATCTGAAGGTGGTCAAATGCTGTCATACCAGCATGATGTGTGCGTATTTATGTAAGAATTACCAACATCATAATAAGAGAAAGTTAAATAAACTTTTTAAATGCATTCTCTGAATTTTAAACCAAATTTATTTGCAGCTTGAAACTGTATGAATTATTTTTTACTACACTTAAATTTTGCAAGTGAAAATTATCCTTTATAAATTGTATAAGAGTTAGCAGTTAATGATAGCAATATTAGAAATCTAGTTTTCTGTCATTATCATGGAATTCCCTAAACACTACTGCTTCTACTTTCACATGTAACATCTAGTGTATCATTTGTACACATTAAGTAAATCTTGGCACAACTTCTTTTAGGTATATTTTCTACCAGATCATACTTAGAAAGTTATTTTCTGTCAAAAACCACATTTATTTTGCTATTGTACAGGCTTCTATTGGTCTTGCAGATTTGAAACATTTCTTACAATGATAAGCTTCAAAACAAATTTTGATGTGTGGCATATTTCATCATTGTTTTAATCACATATGTATTCTGTTACAAAACAAATACTTTCTACTTGACAGTGATAATATCGCCTTGCCTTATATAAGAGAAAAGCATTTCTATATTCTTATAAGCATATTCTAAAATCCCCAATTCCATTTAGACCCTAAGACTAAAAATTTTCCCATAAGACATTTTTGGTAGTAATAGAAATACCAAAAAATATTTTTGAAAGTACCACATACTTATAAATAAAAGGCAAAATTTTATATTATCTTTGATTTTATTGACACATATTCATTTAACTTAACTTGGAAGTAAAAATAAACTTAAACCTAAGTTCAGTGACAATATACCTAGTGTTACATTTAATAATCCTAATAATCCAACATTTTAAATCAGGTTTCATTCTTAATACTTTATAATACAAAACATAACAGTTTCAATAGACTCCTATTTTGTTGTTTGGTTTTAGTTTCAGTATAAAGTAGGGTAGTCACTGTTGCATTATGTTATGTTTTGTGCAACCAGAAGTAGTTAAATCAGTTTTGTAACTAAATGTCTTGGCAACTAACACATCCTCATTATGAAATGATCAACACCTGCCTGTACCCATTTATTGGTCAGTGTATTTTTTTTTACCACATTCACACAATGCCATCTAGTCCCAAACTAAGCAGAGCTTGTACTATGGGTACTAGATAACTGATATAAATACATACATACTTTTATTTGTAAATACATACATATTATACATAGAAGCACACAGACCACATCAAACATTAAATGTTCATGCACAAAAATGTTTGCCTTGAGCGGGAATTGAACCTGCAACCTTTGGAATAGTAGTCCATTACACAAACCACTACACCATTCGGACATCCTATTTTGTATTACCTTTTAAGCAATTATCATAATAATTCAAACATAAATGACATTTACAGATAGGTAGAATTTGTAAGTTGTGATAGTCTTTCTAATGCTTATAACTGTTTTGAAAATCATCCCTCCAATCTCTTAAAAACTTATTTATTTCACTTATAAATATGTTAGTTAACATATCTCAGGCTCTTAGTGTATACTGTGCAAGCCCTTTATAGGTCTACTTAAAAAAACGATTACACTGTATGTTGTTGGTTTATTGTAAACTGATGGCTGTCTATAATAATAAATAAACAAATATACTCATCATCAAGATGCTCAGATCAGATAATAATTTTGATTATTTACCTCTATTATATACCTCGATTATTCCCCTTAGTTTCCTACCTCTATAATTAAATTAGCAAAATTATGCACATATCCTCCGTGTGGTGATGGATTAAGAATACAGAGTGTGACCATCCCTATTCATCCTGTGGGTTTCGTAAAAGCCGACTAAGGGAGCAAACTATGCAGGCCAACAACACTGCAAAGAGAAGGAAAACTTGTCACAAACCCTATACTAACGCGTCTGGCCAGCGTGGTATAGTAGGCCAAAACCTCCTTTCTAATTAGAGGCGTATGTCCAGCAGTGGACTACTAAAGGCTGTTGATGATGCACATATGTGTATTGTGTATGTAACACTTAAATATAAATATACTTTATATTTTAAGTGTTACATACATTATATGTTCATAATTAATTAAACCACCTTAATTCTAATCATATTTTTTTTTAACTTGCTTTAGGTGAAATAAATCTTTCATCTTCACATTTTGTATCATATTAGCCGTGGCCTAGTTCACATCAAGGTATTTTTTCCATCTCTCTGGAATCACACTTGATCTATCAAAGTTCTCCCATGTCCCTCCCGGTATCCCTGTAGAAAAGTGTATGTAAAATAACATGACTAGATGAATGGTACAAAATTATGCATAAAATACACATGCAGACGTCTGATCCCAAACTATACAGATTTTTATAACATTATTTATAATTATGGAAAAAAAGAATATATATATATATATGTATATTGTAATAATAAAAAATAAAAAAATTTAAATTATGTTGTGGGGTGTGTTTTAAAGAAAATAAAAACTAGATTGGTGAACGGGTGGCATCAAATAGAAACAAAATAACAAAATAAAAGTCTCGGGCGCCAGATACCACCTTAAAAGAACACAGAACCCACCACAAACACAACAAATACCTCGGACATCTCAGCCAGCTTTGAACCTTTTTAAAACAAGGCGGGAGGCAGCTAATGAATACAAGATGTTAAGTTCTAATGGCAGTTTATTATCCCGTAGTGTCTGTAGAGTACAATGTGTCTTATGTCTCTAATTACAATAGGTAATTCTTATACACAAATTAGTACTGTCATTAATGCAATCCTTTCCAATAAGAAAAATATAAGGTTAAATAAATTTTAAAGAGTCACATAAAGACTAAATAGACAAAACAATAAACTCTAAAGGTAGACATAGCATTGACCTACTCTCTAATAAAAATAACACCCCTTGGGGACCTGCAGTGTTCAATGCCACATCGCCAAGAAAAATATAACAAAACTACATACCGATGACCTTGGATCAGTCCGAACGAAATGAAATCAAACCAACTCCGAAACTTCTCACTCCGGTTCCCACGTGGTGTAAGAGGCGGGTCAGCACTCCCAGGCTCCAGACCATGGCGTACAGCTAAGCAGCTTTTTCTACCATTCTGGCGCTCCACAGCAAACTAATTTCTTGGGGTCAAACTCCGGCGAGAGACAAAAATCGAATGCCACGCAAGGACATTCCAATAAGAAAGTAAAGCAATTTAGGCATTGTAAAAACTTTAGATATAAACTAAAAAAGAAAACCCTGATTCATCTGCAAATAAGGAAAAATTATAGGTTAAAAGCCTATCTCACAGTATGAATCATAACTCTGACAAGAAATCATATTTCACTTACCAGGGTTCCAAAACGTTTCACAAATCAAGCAGCGGCATTATAAGCATTATAAGCATTGCCTGTAACCAATTAAACAAAGAGTTAAAA